CACACCCAACACCTTAGAGTAGCACTGAATACTCTTCGTGAGAATAAACTTTATGCCAAATTATCTAAGTATGAATTTTTGCTTCGAGCAGTGACATTTTTGGGACACATTTTTAGTGGAGCTGGAATTTTTGTGGATCTTGCTAAGATTAAGACAATAATGGATTAACTGAGGCCGAACAATGTCATCGAGATTCGTAATTTTCTAAGATTAGCTGGATACTATCAGAGATTTATTGAATGTTTCTCTCGCATTGCCACACCTTTATCAAAGTTGACACAGAAGACTATTAAGTTTGAATGGTGCAATGCTTGTGAACAAAGTTTCCAGAAACTCAATAATTACTTGGTAACGATCACCTTCGTGACCGAAGCTTGCGACACTTTTGGGAGTGAAGCTAGACGTGAGAGAGCTGATCTCCCATCTTCCTCTCCTCCTCTGTTCGCTCATACTCGAAACCATTGAAGAAGATAACCCTTGCCTTCATCCTTCTTGCGCACTACAACTCTTCTAGATCCCGTAAAATCCACCTCACAAAGGATTTCTAAATCAGGATTTAAGGCATAACAGAGGGGGACAAAGATTTAAGATGTGAGATTAAGGGATGTTTTTGTGATTGTTTATTAGGTTATTTCAAAATTTAATTTTTTCTCAACAAATTAAAATGAATGACTATATTATTATAAGTATGTTATTAGGCTAACGTGCACAATTTCTTTCTTTTAAAAATCTTATAACAAGAATAATAACATTTATAATTATCGATTAGGTGACAGCTAATTTAATGAATAAATAATTTAATGAATAAATAAATTTATTCTCATAATAATTTATAATTTGCTTTTCCAATTGGTGTATGATCCATATTTGAATCGTTGAATTCATAAAAATACCGTGATTGGTATCTCGAGGTAAGTAACTGTTGTTTATTGAATGATAAACATACATTTCCTAGTTAGAGCGTTATTTCTGGTTAATTGTAGTAGAATTACATATATTGTTTATGTTTTGTCAGTCCCGCCCTTGCTACTTCAATTATGATATTGCACTTCTCATAACCCTACTACTTTATTGTTCTTGATGAAATTATCAACTGCCTTAATATATTGCTGCATATTTGAATAATCCTCCAGTTATAGTATTTTTCTTTTCTTGCATTTTATGAACCTCCATATGGATTAACGTCATATCACAAGCCTGTAAAATTACATACTTTTTACGTATTATATCCGGGAAAACAAATTGACATGCTTGTGTGAGATGGCATGTAGGTCTGTAGATTCTATTTGGATTTTGACTAGCCGGAGTCGACGGGCCCACAAAGTGACGACTCTATAAAAAAATCGTCGGGTTTCCTTGGGTTGGTATTTGACATTCCCAATTTTAGAGTGTATGTTAAAACATACTAAATATAAATATAAATATAAATGAAAGTTTAATGGTAAGAAATTTGATTGAAAATGATTGCATGTTTCGTATGATATGCATATTTGATAATTACCTCTCTTATTGGTTTTTCAGTGTTATATATGCACTTAGTGATTCTTCCTTACTTGTCGCTACTGCATGCCAAATTTTTCTTGTCGTTTATGCTTTAATAGATAGATGTTATTTACTGAGTTTGTCGAACTCATTGTTGATATTTTTGCATAACAAGTTCTATTCAGTTACCTGTAGGATCTTCTCCACCAGTACAAGCTATTCGATTTTAGTTTCCCGGTTTTGGTATTTTTTCTTAGAATTTGTTTTAGCTATTGTACTTTTCTTCGTTGAGTTTGGGTAGTTGTTTCATGTTATTAATTTTGTTTCGATTAAGCTAATTTTCTATTTTTCAGTCAAGTTGTATAAGTAAATTTTTCAGTACTAAGAAAATTTATATTTCTTTTTTTATTTGCCTGCAAGTCTTTTTTTTAAAAATACAAGTATATTTCTTTTATTTCATCATAATCTGCGTTGTCGGGGTGTTACCGCCTTCCGTACCCGTGGTATGGCACATTGAACATTTCAATTTAAAAAAAAAACATCAGAAATGTATACTTCTTATATTTCTTAAAATAGAAAATAGATGATTAAACAAGATATGAAGATTTAATGCATAATTTCGAGTATAAGATAAAATAATGAGAGAAAAATTTAAATGTTTGTGCTTATTGAATGGCTGATCATGACTTCCAATGACTATTGACAAATTTGTTTATATTCTTGAAAATGTTATCAATGGAGGCGATCTTAGGATTAGGTGATTAAAAAAAAAAGAATAATGGTGGAAATACTTATTAAAACTGTAGCTTACATGATTCTATTTTTATCTTCTTTTGTTTATTCATTTTTATTTTCAAAATATAGAGATTGTGTTACACCAGTCGAACTGAGTGAAGCAATTTTTTTTTTAATTTTAAATCAAATCTTAAAATAAAACTTTTTTTGACTTGCTAAAATATGTGTAGAACGTTATGATAAAAATAGTATTCCAAAGGTCTACATTTTCTTACAAGGGCAAACAAACTACATTTTTTGTCTTGATTTTCTCAAACTATTTGATTACCTTCTAGTCTAGCATGAACATAGCAGAGGCGGGCAATGCAGCTCGACATTCCTCACCAACATATATTTTGACTTGTACTAATTAGCATTGAGTGGATATGTACTTGTTTGCTTAGATTGTCACAAAATATTTAAATATTTCATGATATAAAATAGATTCATCATAACCATTTATTTTTATTTGTTCACAATTAATTTTTTAAAACAAATCGTTCTAATAAATTTTATAGATAATCAAAACATATCATAAGTCTTTAATTTGTATCATATATTTTTTTGGTTTTTTTAATGTATCTAAAATTATACGCCAAATATTAAGTTGAAGGATAAAACTTGATCACTTTACTATGACCCTACCTGCTTCATTCTATGACCCAACTTGCTTCTATCTCTTACCTAAAGAAATAATTATATAACATCTAATGATCTAATAAGGTCAGCGAGAAAAAAATTTCTAATACTGAGTCAAAATACAAAAATAATATGATAATATTCATGTTAATTTTTTGAACTAATTTGAATATTGATATTATTAGACGTAGCTTTTTCAGTGCAATAAAACTTAACTTAAGATGTTCTTTAAAAATTAAATAAACGAAGGTTACAATCATCACTGCAAGGAAATGAAATACAATTGTCAGTCCAATTATTTAATGCACTATAACAGTCATTTGTTGGTGTTGAACTATTTTCTTTATTTTTATTTTATAATCTTATTTCCACTTGTTATAGTCTTATAATTGTCATATAATGTTTGTCTATGTTTTGGTATATTAGATATTATATGTTCATCATTTTTGCCCGTCTATCTATTGATAACTTTAATAAGAGTTAAATTTTGCTCCAACGTAAATAGTTATCAACAGTCTCTCCATAAAAGTTGGACTGCTCCGACCTGGCAGCTATCAGGAGTTACGTACACCATTTTGGTCCTTATAATGGCTCATTTAAAAAGAAATTTTTTGTCTCCTTATGCAAGTCATCATAATCTACCAATTTAACCACTATGACATGATCTTTTATAGTATTTCTTTCTTAGCATTCGTATCATAAGCCTTTAAAGTTTATTTAGCATATTTTTCCACGCATGCTATCATTAATTTGCGTTAATCCAACAATAAAGGCATAAATATGCAACATGTAAAAGGCCATGTGAGTTGTTAAATGTATGGCAAGCCATAGGACCAGTACAAAATGAAAATAACATATAATTTTTTTTAACAGGTGAACATGTACTTTTATTAGGCTTATTAAACACATCAGATACTCTTAATATTGTAGAGATTAAGAAATTTCTACTAACATACACATAACGGTCCAATATAATCGCTGCCATTAATAATCATTAGGCCTATGAATGATTAATATTTTATATTAGAGATGAGTATTACACAACAAATATTTGATCTTTGAAATGAATTTCTTTGGATTCGTCACCGATAAATCTTGATCTTTTAAATATCACCAATTAAAAAGTCATTCCTTCAACATGTACCCATTTCCTAAGTTACCAATTCAAATTCATATCAAATTGAACTCAAGTAATATTTTGACCTCAAAATAATTATTAAGGACATAAACCCTTATAAAAGACATTAACCCTGCCAAGCTGTAAAACAAAATCGAATCATTAAAAATCAAGATAAAATCTACATTTCTTCCCCAAAAGTGAACTCTTATCTTCAGACTTAGCTGTCACCCCTCAGCTTGTTCTGCCTTCATTGCAGCTCACGGGATAAGGAATGAAATGTAGATAGCAAAGTAATGTTTTAGTAGCTTGGTTTGTATTAATGTGTAAGTGATTATATTATTAACATTTTTTTTAAAAGCATCACAGCGGTTCCTTAAACGCATCTGCCACTGCATGCCTTTTTCAGTGGAATTTTGTTTTCTTCTACAGCACATCAGTTAGGCGTACATTAAATTAAATGGAAAAAATCTGAATTAAATTAAATTTAATTTAATGCACATCAGTTAGGCGTACATTAAATTAAATGGAAAGTGTTATTAAATGAAATTTAGGACAATAGATTTAATTAAGAAATTAGTTTATAAATATTAATATACTCACATATTTATACATATTTTTATATGTTAAACTTATCATTAAAAATGCATAAATTTCTTAAATTTTTTTTTTATCATTTACATCATGTGTGATAATTAGGATATAAAAATTAAGATAATGTTTAATATTTGCAGATTTTTTGGGTATTATAGCGGTATGTAATATATATCCTTCTTTAAAGATTTGTGCAGCTCAAATCATTATATTGTCACTTGCTGTTTTCCTTTGAAAGCAGCTGTTTTATTACTTTAACCCATAGCTTGTGGGCGCTGGATAATTTTACTATGCCTTTTGTGTTTATTTCTACGAGCCAGTCAATGACTTTGAGGCTTATTGTTCTTAAACAAAATTGCTAAATAGAAAGCTAATCTTATTCTCGATGTCTCAGGTTGCTCTTAAATTCAAAGTTCCTCCATCATGTGATGTATCACGCCTTATTGTGGATATTGTTTCGCTTCTAGGGCAGAAGGCTGAGCGTCAGGGTGGTGGTTCAGAAATGTTATTACATGCCTGGGACAGGTTCTTTTCTTTGCCAGCTGTTCTAAAGATTTGACGTTTTGTAATCAAATAGGTTTTTCTAAAGTTTAGGCCATTTCATTTGATGAGAAGATTTTAGAATTCTGTAAAGAATTTTATTTCTTGTTCCCAATGCAATACACTTCACTACATTTATATAATAACTAAAGGCAACAAAATAGGAATCCCTCTAAATAGGGTAGAACAAAAAATAGGAAATATAAATAAAAAAAGAAACATTATTAAAAGAATATATTCTGAGATAAGCAAATGAATTTATTCCTAATGCGAATTTGCACTTTCATACAGTCACCCACAAGTTGGGTTGTATATATTGTACAAATCAAGATTGAACTTCAATTCATGATGACTGACTCTTGATAGTGCTTTGGTGAGAATATTAGCAATCTAAAGCCTTGTGGGAATATAATTGAGCTAAACTATTCTATTAACATTTATGTGATGAAATGCCTGCCAATCTCAATGTGTTTTGTTTTGTCATAATGCATAGGGTTTTTGGCTATACTAATACTCACTTGGCTAGCACTGGACATCTTAAAAATATCTTTTGTCTCAACCTAAAATTCTTTTAATAGCCTTTGAATCCAAATTCCCTCACATATTTCTAGTGCAAGGGCAAGATATTCACATATTCTGCGCTACTCCGAGTGACAACATGTTGCTTTTTGCTCACCCACATGCCTTGATTTCCCTAGATGTATGAACATTATCCAGTGGTAGATTTACTATCAGTTACCTCTCATGCTCAACTAGTATCTATGTGAACCTCAATCTCACATTGTGAACCTCAATCTCACATATGTTCTTTTGAAAAACAAACCATATCCTGGGGTCATCTTTAAGTTTCTTAAGATTCTGTTCATCGCTTCCAGATGATCTTCATTTGGATAAATATCATATTTTGTGTGCGATAGGTAAAGTAGTTTGCCCATATTTCTTTGACATCTTCCTTTGTCAACTGGGTTGTTTTCTACTATTTTGTTTAGTCGTTTGTTGAAATACATGGGTGTAGTTTCACTTAATAGGTTTAATATGTACTTTTGGGATATGACAATTCTCTCCTTAGACTAGGTCACTTCCATTCCCATAAAATATCACAGAGTCTCAAGGTCTTTGATCTCAAATTTTGTTGCAAACATCTTTTTTAGTCTAATAATTTCCTATGAATCATCATATTTCAAATTAATGTCATCAACATATACTAGGAGAATACCAATTTTACCTCTAAGATTGGATTTAACAAATAATTTATGATCAACTTTAGACTGATGATATCCATTTCTAATCACTGTTTTAGCAAATTTGTCAAACCATGTATAAGGAGATTGCTTCAAGCCATATAAGAACATCTTCAACTTGCAAACCAACTTATTGTTTGACCTATTTTCCAAGCCCAAATGTATAGTCATGTATACTTTTTCATCAAGGTCCTCATTTAAGAAGATTTATTTGACATTTAAGTTAGTATAAAGATCAATCTTAATTGACTGGAAGAGAGAGCAAAACTCGAATAATATTAAGTTCGACAATAGGTGCAAATATTTTCTAATATTCAATTCCATATGACTGCGTGAAGCCCTTGGCTACCAATCTAGCTTTGAATCTCTATACACTTCCATCTTTTTTGTATTTGATTGTGAATATCCATTTGCAGTATAGATTTTTTCCATGAGGTAACTCTATAATTGTCCATGTGTTATTCTTTTATAGAGTCCGAACTTCCTTCTCAACTGCTTGTTTCCATGTAGGAACCTTTAGGTCTTCTTGGATAGAGTTAAGAACCCACACACAATCAGTGTATGTCTAATATGGCAACAACTTCTCAAAATCTACATATCCTTCAATCCGGTAATCTGTGCACCCTCAGATACCTTTCTTGTGTGCAGTTGTTTGATTAAGGTCATCAATAAATGGTACAAGGGAGTCATGAGGCAAGGAATCCATACCATTATGATTATTAGATTTAGGACTTTGTTCTGGCTCTTGATAGACCTGAATTTACATAGTGTCATCTACATGCTCTGTGGTCATTCTTATGATGTAGACACAAAGTTCTTGATCATTGGTGTCATGTTGAGGTATAGTAGAGCCAATTGGGATAGTTTCTGTGACAAAATTTAGTTCTTCGAGTGGAGCTAGTTAGGTGATAAGATTTATTTCAATTGAAGGAAAAGTGACCTGAGTATCTTGGAAAAGATCCCAAATCTAATATTTCCTTTAGCTCTCATGAATTTCAAATTTGGGAAAATAAGATTGACTGTCAAAGAATGTGACCTATATGTAGTTGTAAATTTTTTTAGTGGTTGGGGAGTAACATGTGTACCCTTTTTGATTGTAGGAGTAACTAAGGTAGATGCATCCGGGAGACTTGGGATCAAGTTTGATGCAGTGTTATTGATGGGTGTGAACAACGACAGAACAATAAAAAATCTTTAATGGTAAGTTAGAAAGAGAACAAATATGTAGATAGGATTCCATGAAAACATTATGGTGAATTTGAAATTTTATGGCTTGACTAGGCATCCTATTTATGACGTATGTGCCTGTGAGAATGGCTCTCACTCCGCACCCCCTCATGATTAAACATAATGTCTCGAGCCACCTCAAGTAATTATCTATTTTCCCTTTCAACGATCTCATTTTGTTAAGAAGTATCCAAACAAGAACTTTTATGGGATAAGGACTAATGATGGAATTAAAATGTTCCTTTTATTATCAGTTTTATGTATTTGAAATTTGCTTCAAAATTGAGTAAGAATCAATGCATAAAATGATTGAAACATGATGACTATTTCAAAATTTTCTTTTATAAGAAATATTTATGTTGTTCTTGTGTGATCTTTTATGAATGATACAAACCATTGTGCCATATTTAAATTATTTACTTTTGAGGGTCCCGCAGAGATTGCTGTGAATTAAAGAAAAGGGATGTGAAGGCTTGCATTGCAATTTAGACTATACACATTTAGTATGTTTTTCAAGTTGGCAAATTTCATATTGATAAGATTAGATTTTTTTAATGCTAAATAAATATGGAAACATCTTTTTTATGGATGACTAAGACGATAATGACTCAGCATGACTTGACTTTCAACTGAAGTTATGTTGATAAAATTTGAACTGTAGTTAGAAATAATTTGGTTGATGACATTGTTTATCTATGAAGTTATTTTCTTTTAGAAGTATAGACCATCATGCATCTCAACATTGTCAGTCATCTTCCTTGAATTCACTACCTAAAAATAATAACAATTAGAATTTAAGTTACTAGCACATTTTAGGTTACAAGTAAGTTTGTTGATTGAGAGTAGATTGCAGTTTAATTTTAGAACATAAAGAACAATGTAGAGATGAAAATCCTTTGTCAAATCAACAGACTTTGTTCCTGCTATGGTGATAACAAACCATCAATTATTCGAACTGCAGAATGGCTACTACATGGATTGTAATATTTGAATATATTGATTTCTCCGTCGTATGAAATTATATTTTGGAGGATTATAATTTATTGCTTTGGATAATACAATCATAGGATAAGATACTTTGATGTGCTAACAGGCTAATAGGTTGTTCGACAGAGGATTGTGATGCTTATATAGAACTGTAACTATTCCTAAACATTTTCTTATATTACTTCAATTTGCTTCTGGTGAACGGGTTGAATTATGAGTTGTTGTTGGTTGTGAGAATAAGATTTGTTTGGTTCTTAATATCATTTCTTCCATTAGATGACTTCCAATCTGTAGGTTTATAGTGTAAAATTCAACATTTTCCCTTCATATGGCTAGGTTTCTCAGCACCAAGATCATCCATTTCTGAGCTTGTTATTTTGAGAGAAATTTTGAGTGTTCAAGGTTGAACTTTCAACAAATGATGTGTGATTGTTTGGCATTATCAACTTTCTTTTGCTCTACTCCCTTCGAACTTTTGCAAAGTTTTCCCAAGTGGTAGGGATGGTTGCCATTTTGGACAAGTTTGAACAAATTTGTTTTAAAAGAAAAAAAATTGATCCCAAAAAGCCTGAAATTTTTTACCACTGACCTACAACGGTTAAGTGGTTGCTAAATTATTCTAGAGGTTTCAGATTTGAGTGAAGTAGTCTCTTTGAAAAAGAGGAGCCATCAACTCCTCTTTTAGCCTTGCACTTCAAATATCTCCTTGCACTGGTTATGCCTTTTTTATGTCCTATCTTATGTTACTATAGAGTTTAATCTTGACCCCAATATGGGTTTAATTTACATGGATGAATTTGGATAGAGGTGAGTTATTTTATGCACACATGATAGATATTTATTTCATTAAATTTAAATCACATCAAGTAATAATTTTCAACAAATATAATGATACATTGAATAACATATGTAAAACATGGATTATTTAATGACTTCAAAATTGAATAGAAATATGATGCACCTACTTAATTTGATGGCGGACCAAACAATTGAATATGTCAATTGAAATTTCTAATAATTTATATTATTCAATAGAAAAAAAATAAAACTAACATTATAGTTTGATATAAATTTTAGGAACTTCAAGGTTGCATAAATATATATTTAATTGACATTGTAAATGCTAAAGATAAATGCATAAAATCCCAAGTTTCATAAAGCACATGAATTTTTTAGTCATCACTTTCTATAATTTTAATAATTTCTCTCTCTTCCACGTAGATTTTTCTCATCTTAAAAATTTCTTTCTTCTTCTGGTGAGTCAATCTCAGTTTCTCATTCTTGAGCAACAACATGAGCAGATGCAGGTTGATGAACTATTCTTTTTCGAGGATGGACCTCATTAGTTTTTACCTACTAAAATTTATATTTAATTAGCAATCAAATTATGCCTCTTCAATTTATCTCTGGTTAGTCATTCATCACTAAAACATTTCATATCAGCATTATCTATTTTCTTAGTCAACCAGTCACAAATTTTATTAGTATAATCCAAATTAATTGGATCAATTACATTTCTAAATTTAATTT